ACGCTAACAACTGAAATAAAAATAAAAATGCCGTACCTAAATCAGCAAGAGAATGTCGTGCATACCTAGGTAATTCTCATTAGAAATAAAAAGCATATGGTGCAAGTAATTCGTAATAAGCAGTTGTTAAAAATACCAGGCCAAGTGGATTCGATACTTTCCATATCTATGTTTTTATTTTTGTCGCTGTTGTGCATATCTCAATAAAGTTGCGTTAAATGTGCCGTGCATCTGTAGGTACTGTATGTATTTTGTAATGCACATTAGAAATAAAAGCATCTGGTGCAAAAGATTCGTAGTTAAAAGTCGTCAAAAATACCAAGCAAGGTGTATTCGATACTAGTAAAACATGCACTATGATTTACTAAAACATTCTAATTATAAAACACTTAACATCTAATCTAATCTAAAACATCTAATTTAAACATCTAATGTAAACATCAAATTTACTAAAACACTAATTAATTTTAAAACATTCGATACTATTCGATAATAAAACATGCCATTGTTCTGTAACCTATCCATCAAGATTCGCGGTTGTGCATTGCATTCCTTTCTCAATAAAGTTGTGAATCTTGGAAACTGAGGTGCCATTGTGCCATCGTTACCAAGGTGATTGGTAGACAAATACAAGAAGCCAAATCAAATGTGTTCTTCATTTCACGCCGTCGTGAAATGAAATTCTCGACCAATCAAAACGTTCCGTTGTTTTGCTGATGCTGCTTGCTTAGCAAACATTCACAAGAGACGCCGAAACTACCCCATGGGGGTAGTTTGATCTGGTGAAACTGGATTTTACCCCATGGGGCAGAATGGAAATCTACCCCATGCCGAAATTACCCCACTTGGTGAAACTGGGCCCAGGCGGCCCATCTGTTTGTCTTCCCCGAGGAATCGCTGAGCTGCATGAACACGCTACCCACCTGCTGGCATCACCAAGAACATGCCGCTGATGTCAAAGATGGATAGGGCCCGCAGAGTACCGGCCGAGTCGCACTTCATGGTGGTGGCGTCCCAGTACCACTGGCGATAAAAGCGGTGGACCGTCCCCGTCTCGTACATCCGCCTCATCCTGACGAGGGCGGTGGGGTGGTAAGAACAATGTGAGGCAGTGGAGAGCTTGTAAGAAGATATAGCTCTTTCTGAGACAGCGGTGAGTTGTAAGAATATTTTGGTTCAATGTGAGGTAATGGTGGTTCGTAAGAATATTTGTCTCGTTCCAAAAAAAGGCGGCGGTTTTGTAGCAACATTTGTGTTTTTAAGTTAGGCAGTGATGAGTATAAGAACGCTTATCTCAATAACAGAAAGCAGCGATATTTTTTGAAGACGTTAGTCTCAGTCGCAGACAGTCGGTTTGTTAGGAAGGGCGTCAGCTGTGTGATTCATAGTGGTGTATTGAGACCTGCAGTCGACCGTAATGAAGTCTATAGTGGAGCGACACTGATGATGCATGGCTTGCTGCTAGTGGTCATTAGGAGAGAGTGCTGAATAGGAAGAAAGGAATTGCTGATTAGTCATTAGAATCGTTTTTGTGGCGTCGTCATCTGGCATTAATGTAAATTTGCATCATAATAACAACGCTGATTGGCATGAGTTTAAATTTATATTTAAAGTACTTCAGTATTAAGTATTTTGAAATGCTCAAGTACCTATTTCAATGAAATAAAACGCGCCTTTCGTAGCAAACCAACATAATTAAATGTTGTATTATCGTTTAAGTGTTACCTTTATGGGCGGTACCTTGGTACCGCTATCCCCATGCTATCCTTAGCCAATAAATACCTAGCGCTATTTTAAAGGCTTTCTCTTTTCGCATTCAAGAAATCGCATGCGAGAGCCTATTCAAATACATTATTATTCTGCCCGCATCAATCGCATGCGGGAGGTGCGTGCGATTGATGCGAGCGTGCTTCCATGTAGGTATTTCAATTTCATTAACATGCATCTGTTGCAAAATGATGGAACGGATATTGGTCGCATCTATTGTGACACACTTAGAAGATGCTGGGCTGCTAACAGAGTATCAGCACGGATTCAGGAGGCGATTGTCCTGCGAAACACAACTAATTATGCTATGTCAGGACTTGTTGGCATCCATTGATAATAGAAAATGCATAGATTTGGCATTTATCGATTTTAGTAAAGCTTTTGATAAGGTCCCGCATTACCTTCTGATAAATAAGCTTAAAACATATAACTTAGATAAAAAAGTATTGGGATGGATCAGATCTTTCCTTAAGGATCGAACCCAGAGGGTTGTAAATGATAATTGCTTTTCTGAACCCATTAAAGTAACGTCGGGTGTACCGCAAGGAAGTGTTTTGGGTCCCATTCTATTAATTTTATATATAAATGACCTCACAGACAAAATCAATTGTTCAGTTAGATTGTATGCAGATGATGTAGTTCTCTATACACATGTTTCAGGTAACGAGACATATAATAGTGTTTTGCAGGCAAACCTTGATGAACTATCTCAATGGTGCCAAGACTCAAAAATGGTTATCAATGTTAATAAATGTGCAATCATGCGTATGTCTAGACAAAAAATGAATATAGCACCTAAATACTTTTTGAACAGCGAAGAGATTAACGTTGTTCAAGAATTCAAGTACTTGGGAGTGCATATATCTAGCAAATGTAGTTGGCAAAAACATGTAGAATATGTCGCTGGAAAAGGCAACCAAATTCTTCGATTCATTAAAAGGAATTTTAGAGACTGCCCTCAAGCTGTGAAGGAAACTGTTTTCATGTCACTAGTCAGGCCAATTTTGGAATATGCAAGCTGTGTCTGGGACCCATGTGGAGAGGGTTTAAAGAAAGAAATTGAGATGGTTCAAAGACGTGCTGCGAGATTTGTGTTGAACGATTACGAGAGATATAGCAGTGTTGATGAAATGTTAGAAAAAATTGGATGGAAAACTTTGGAAAGGCGACGTAGTGAGTCTCGACTGTGCCTTATGTTCAAAATGTTCAACGGTGAGCTATCGCAGTTATCCACAGAACTCAACAGCATCATATGCCAGCCCTCTTATGTTGGTAGGCATGATCATGAGAAAAAGATTAGAAGGGTTCAGTCTAGACTTCTCCCTTACCATCATTCATTCTTCCCTAAGACGATTAGGGAATGGAACAGACTCCCACGTAGTGTGGTTGAAGTCAATTGTTTCAAAGATTTTCAGGAACTTTTAAAGAATTGACTGGCTAAGCATTCCAAGATGTACGAAATATGAAATTATTGTGTTACCGTGATGTGACAATGTGTGTGATATCTGTGAATGTGTATGTGTAGCATGCTATTTTCATGTGCGACGACGTATAGGGTAGGGTGGTTTAACCCGCGCCCCACTGGGGTCTGCGTATAACACGCCCTACTGGGGGGGGGGGGGGGGGCTATTCATAGCCCCCCTCCTAACTCCGAAACTACTGGGCCGATCGTCAAAATTCAAACGGCGTCTGATAGCCCCGGAAAAACTGTCGAGCGAAACCTAATTTCATTGACCTCGAGGTCACCGATGACGTCACAGGTCAGGTCAAAGTAAAAATTATTAGCATTTTGGCTTCTTCACGTTTTGGGCTCTGGCCGCCGTCTTACAAGTCAGATCAGGCTCATTTTTGGTTCACACACTCGTGAACAGATGCTCTAGATACTCTGAGGGTACCAAACTTGTACTTTGATTTTCAGGTCAAGGTCAGGTCATCACAGGTCACGAAAATATTATATCATCCGTCGTTCACGTGACACATGTTTTATGGTCCATTTAGGCCAAACATTTCGAATTTGATGTCGTCTGTGTCATTCGAGGTCATTTTGAGTCAAATTTAGCTTAGGTTAGGTCACTTTCAGGTCAAAAAAGGTCAAATTTTGAAGTTAAACTTTTTCAGCAAAAAAGGTGTCTATTGGATGCAATTTGAGCTCAGGAACACGATGGTGCTATTTATATTGGCGTACGATGTCAAATTCGTGCTGAAAAATTGATTTGAAAAATTAATAATTGTTATTTTTTTGCAATAATGCGTATAACTTGGCCATTTTTGAAGATATTTAGCTAAAACTTGCTAGAGTTAGTCATAATAATGCGTTCTATCACATATATTCCGGTTTTTTCGAAAAGTCAAAAAAAATTTGAAAAAAATGTAAAAATATAAATTTTGAATTTTATTATATGAAATTTTCGAAATTTTCAAAATTTCGAAAATCCGAGATAGCAGTTTGATAGCGCAGTCTATTTTGAGTCCTCTCATGCAAAGAAATTGGATCTAGCTTAAAAACTGAGCTCTTGGGAGCGATTGCCGTGGTTCAATGTTTTGCGTCGAAATCGGCCGAACATGACGTCACTCTGACGTCATTTCCGGCCGACCTATGGTAGGTACGAAGTTCAAATTTTGACACAAGGTGTCAAATTGATGCAGCCGAAGGTACTGAAAGTTTGGCGTCGATACGTCAAGCGGTTCGGAAGTTATTGCAGAAAAACGGGAGGGGGGGGCTATAAATAGCCCCCCCCCCCCCCAGTGGGGCGCGGGTTAATTTGAATGGGGTCTAATTTGACTTCGTCGGTTGACGAAGTGGTTTGATTTGAATAGGGTGGTTTAATTTCATCACCAGGGCTTTACAGCATTTGTGATGTCTGAACTAATATACGAATATACACACAGGTATTTGGATAGGCTCTCGCATGCGATTTCCTGACTGCGAAGAGTCTGTTTCAGGCTTAACACGACTTTCCTCTTCAATTTAATCGTCTCATTGTACAGCAAAAACATATTGTTTTCTTTCACTTAGCACGCGTAAGAATCTTTGGTATACTCACACCCTATCCATTTTTGGGCGGATTTTCAGTCCTTTCTGCATGGTGAGAAAGACGGGCGTGTATCGGCCGTGCCCTGCATGGATCATTTCGGCGTTGGTTGTCACAGGTCGCATCGGCAGCGTGACCAGATCACACGCCTTGGAACCCAACAAGAAAAACGCCTGTACGAAACGACACGGTCAGCATCTGTCAGTTAAAGTCATTGAGATTTGAGCCCTACGAGTTAAAAAAAAGGCTTTCAGACATCAGTGGTAACACGTCCTTCCATTTTAAGAGTTGTCAGAAAAGCGTGTTAAATAACTTACATCTTTAAACAATCCGTCAACAAATTCCTGAGTCAGCGTAGTCCGGCTGTTTTCAAGAGCTCTTACCTGTTTTAGGTCAAACGATGTGACCGTTTTAGCGTCCAGCATTTGGTATGACGTGTTGGCTGTTAGTAACTTCATGCCCTCGTTGGCTTTTATTCGCTGAGCGATCTTCCTCAGGGAAGGATCGGGATCCGTCTGAAAGTCAAAGGTCTGTTAGAACTGACGCTTAAATGCCGCCCCACACTGGACCTCGCATGCGGGTTGCTTGCGAGTTTTTGGGTTTTCGGGTTTCTCCCAAACTGAAAAATACACTCTATGTTGAGTGACCCACACCACCATGTAACAAGCGAGTCTGCATGTTTTAGCATGCGAACCACATTGCATCACATTCCAAAAGTTGATTTTGAGTCAACTTTCGATTTTCAGCTCGCTGCGAGGGCTGCGAGTTTTGGTGTGTTTTGTTGAAGTCGAATTTTGGTTCGTTGTGCTGTTATTGCGATAATATGCAAATTTTTGAGGGTGTGCCAGCTTCACTGCATTCATGTAGTGACCATAAAAGAATGGTTTAGTCACTTCATAAATGAGTATTATACCCGCGAATCCAAAACCCGCAGACTCGCAACCCGCATGCGAAGTCCAGTGTGGGGCAGCCTTTAACTTGCTGACACGAGTTGAAGTGCCGCCGGGGGTCGTGAACAAATATGTAGAAATGACCCTTAGCATGATATTTAAGGTGCAATTTAATAAATCTTGGCTATTGCTATGACCATTCTTATTGATACTTTCTATTGAAAACGTACTTTGCTATAATTACTGGTAGTCATGCTATGCTAGTTTGATTATAGTTATTGTATGCAAACATAGTGAATGCTCTAACTGAATTTTCACCAATACGAAAATCTATAACTAGAGAGAGACCATGCCTTATATTCCCTTGTGCGTTAGTTTTTCCGCGATTACTGCGTGTCGAATTCATCAATCTAAGCAAAGGGAGTTTTCTGAAAGTACCCATATGCTAGCAACATGCCTCGTGATTATCAAGGCATTAGTGTGCACTGTGCCGTGCCCGGCGTCCGCATTGAACGGTCTTGCCTATCCATCCTTGGGTTATTGACAAATCAATAGTCGCCGCTCATAGCTTGAAGGATTATCTAAGCACAAACACTCCACTATAATCGGCGGTGGAAACCCCGTGCCCATCCATGTTACAACGAACCCTCTCAGTACGCTTGAGTGATCGCTCCACGATTGCCTATCGTTCAACTTCTGACTAATGTAACGTGTCTTGCATCACTTCTGACACGCAAACGCGAATTTATGTTTGCCTTTCTGTCTGTCCGTGTTCGAAGGCCTGTCCTACAGTTCAAGGTAGCAATATATTGTGCTTGTTTACATGCTTCATTATTGATTATTTTCATTCCTAAGAGTTATCATTTGTTTACATGCCTTACTTTAAGTATGAGCATACATAATGTGATATTCCTTCTTTCCTTCCTTCCTACTGATTTTTCTTTCGTTCCTTCCCTCTTTACCACCTTCCTCCCTCCTTCCCTTACTATCCATCCAAATCAAATCATCCCGCTCTCCCTCTCTCCCAAACCCACGCCCCCATCCACACAGACCCTCCAGTCGGAGCTGGTAGACTCCCCCCCCCAAACACACACACACACAAGCCTTCCAGTCGGAGCTGGTAAACCCATTCCCCCCCCCCCACACACACACACACCTTCCAGTCGGAGCTGGTAAACCCATTTCCCCCCCCCCACACACACACCTTCCAGTCGGAGCTGGTAAACCCATTTCCCCCCCCCCCCCACACACACACACCTTCCAGTCGGAGCTGTAGGCCACGCCCCCCCCCCCCCCCCACCTTCCAGTCGGAGCTGTAGGCCACGCCCCTCTGCATGAGCAGCGTCCAGTCGCTGCGCTCGACGAACTCCTGCACGGAGCCGACCTCCGTCCGGGTCTGCAGTACAGTCATCACGGCTACCAGCGTGGCCGTGTACTCGACGTAGACGATGTAGCTCATCAGGCGGGCAGCCATCATCACCAGCCACGGAGACCAGCGCGTCGGCGTGCTCGACCAGCCCTGATAGACGGCGGGGGAGGGAGTGAGGGGGACTCCTCAAGCACCTGTGGTAGTCGGGGTATGTGGGCCTGTGGTCCTCCCACCTCTCTGTGATGGAAGTGTTGATGATTGGGATTTGTTGTTACTGCTGACATACAATCAGCGAAAACAAGAATCATATCTCGCATGCATTTGATGTTTCTTTCCCAGAATCCTCCGGTATCTGCCTTCGTGTCAAGCCGGCGCGCTGAGACCGACCGGGCCACTCTGAGGCTACGATCGTCCCCACCTGCAGGCCCTGAGGCCGCTCTGAGGTCGCCCACCTGCAGGCTCTGAAGCCGCCCTGAGGTCGCCCACCTGCTGCACCACGCAGGCGTAGACGTGCAGGAAGCTGGAGATGACGCCGAACGTGCCGGCCTCCTCCGGGTGTCGGGGCCGGGCCAGTGACACGGTCAGCCGGAGCAGCACGGCCGCCAGCAGCATACCCACCACTGCGGGGCAGCGGGAGGGTGACGTCGGAGAGAGAGAGAGAGAGAGAGAGAGAGAGAGAGAGAGAGAGAGAGAGAGAGAGAGAGAGAGAGAGAGAGAGAGAGAGAGAGAGAGACAGAGAGACAGAGAGACAGAGAGACAGAGAGACAGAGAGACAGAGAGACAGAGAGACAGAGAGACAGAGAGACAGAGAGACAGAGAGACAGAGAGACAGAGAGACAGAGAGACAGAGAGACAGAGAGACAGAGAGACAGAGAGACAGAGAGACAGAGAGACAGAGACAGAGAGACAGAGAGACAGAGAGACAGAGAGACAGAGAGACAGAGAGACAGAGAGACAGAGAGACAGAGAGACAGAGAGACAGAGAGACAGAGAGACAGAGAGACAGAGAGACAGAGAGACAGAGAGACAGAGAGACAGAGAGACAGAGAGACAGAGAGACAGAGAGACAGAGAGACAGAGAGACAGAGAGACAGAGAGACAGAGAGACAGAGAGACAGAGAGACAGAGAGACAGAGAGACAGAGAGACAGAGAGACAGAGAGACAGAGAGACAGAGAGACAGAGAGACAGAGAGACAGAGAGACAGAGAGACAGAGAGACAGAGAGACAGAGAGACAGAGAGACAGAGAGACAGAGAGACAGAGAGACAGAGAGACAGAGAGAGAGAGAGAGAGAGAGAGAGAGAGAGAGAGAGAGAGAGAGAGAGAGAGAGAGAGAGAGAGAGAGAGAGAGAGAGAGCTAGTGTGCTTGAATGGCGGTGCTGGTGCGGTGTGTGTGTGTGACCAAAGCGTCGCTTCGCAGCCATGTAGAAGACCAAAATGATTTGGTTATGTCATCGACCTGCTGTGGCTTATTGAAACAAATAGTCGACGAGCAATTTTAACGACTATAATATTCGTTGAATATTATAATGGCTACCAGGTTACCTACTACAGCGACCGTATCCAGTAAGGATAGCGACAAAGCGAATCAGCAGCCAACAGTCTCGTCACTGACGTACCGAGGCAGATCCAGACGCCGATGTCGAACGGCTTCAGCAGCGAGTGGACGTTGGTCAGAGAGGCGCGCTTCTGTCCGGGCACGAGGAAGTCGAACCGCTGGGTGGCCACCGGCACGTGCCCGATGTAGTCGATCACGTCTCGGCGCGTCCTCCGGTAGGTCAGCGGCGCCAGGGCAATGTGCGCCGTCTGAGAACGACGAGAGAGAAGAGAGAGGAGAGGATGTCCTGTAAAACCTCTCATCTTTATCCGGATTTAGTTTCTTCAATCACTTCATCCGCCTCACTCTTAGTGTTAGCGCCCAACGATAGACGCTTCGCCACTTGGCAACACAAAGTGGGAGACGTTTGTCGGACATTGACTCAAGTTTGTCGAGCGCCTGCGACCACCAGTGGTGCGGCTGTCTGGGCCAGCTCCTCACCTTGTTGACCAGCCTGCCGACCAGTCCGCTGTACGTGCCGTCGGGCCGCTGCACGCCAAAGTCGCCCACCGTGTTGTTTGTGTCGTACACCAGCGAGACGCCCACCTCCTCTGCCAGGATCTCCAGCAGCTCCTTGAGGTAGCCGGTGACCACGCCCGGCTGGTCCGGGCTTACGAAGGTGAACGGAGGGTACTGTGCGGATAAACGGGAGAACGATCGGCGCGTGTAAAGGCTGCAAACATTTAGGTACAGTCCACACATACGGAGGTAGAGGCTCGAGAGTCGAGAACGGTATTATCTTCAAGTGGTGTTTCCTTCAAGTATTCGGTTGTTTCTCCTAAGGAGCTAGTGTTCCTCGTTTTTCGTCAGCTCACTTGATTACGTTTACGCTGGGAAGCTTTACTGGTTGAATACTTTTTAATGATTGAATGCAATTTTGTATTAACTATTAAATATCATATATGAGATAATGAGTTGTCCCTGCATTCTTTTCACACATGTGAATCCTTTTCTTGTTCTGTTGAAAACATTTTATAAACATGCATCAAATTATTTGCTCTTGAACCCCACGGTAGAACCTTTTGCGAAACATGTCTCGTCTTTCATGTATTTTTGGTAACTAAAAGACGTGACTTACATCGAAGGTGGCGACGACAAGTGTTTCGGCGTCCCCGGTGGTGTTGGACCAAGGCCCGAGCCGCTCCATGTTGGACCTCTTCTGAAGCAACTCCTGCGAGAGCGCCCTCCTCTGACGGCTCCTTCAGAAGTGTCGCCTCCCCTGTGCGACAGCGGCTCAGGCCTCCACCAACTGTCGCAGAAATGAGAGTATAGGTTAGGTGGAAGTTATTCGTATTTCGTGCCACCGCGTACCGTACATAATCCGTATCGGGTATATGATTTGCGCTCAGCGCACAATAACTGTGTTTCAGTTGTTGTGTCAAGGATATTCAAGATTTTGCTCACTTCCACTGAGGCAACGTGTGTTGCCAGTGTGTCAAAATCACGAAGGGTTTGCCGGTGTTTTGATGCGCCATTGAAATGAGCAGTGGTGACAACATGACCTTTGAGCTGTTGTGCTGCCCATTGGTCAACGTCTCATGGCACTAGCACAGCACTAGCATACGTCCCACGCCCACCAGCAGCATGTATTTCCCACCCATTACGACCGGTACCATTAGGCTGAACACCCGAGGTCCGTGCCTTTGTGCCACCTGTCTCGTCCCGACACTATCTCATAAAACATCGTCGCATGTACGACTAGTTAATTGCGTGAGCTGGCCTTTCAACGTTTTCGCGGCAGCGTTGGCGCATCGCACGATTCACACTAGGGCAAACAGTTCTCACAGGCAGACACGTGAGTCCAAACACGTGATCTGTGGCACGTTACCTGCAGGACCCAGAAAACGGCTCAGAGTCCAAACTACTTGAGCTTGGATGCAAGCTTGTTGTATTGAGGATGGTTGTTATTTGGAAACGTTTTTGAACGCAACTGGTGCTCCGAGGCAAATTTGATTGCTCCTGCTTGGTCATTGCCCTTAGGCCGTAAGTGACTTAGGGGAGAGTGGGGTAAGATGCCCAGGGTTTTGCAATGTCATATGTTATTCGAAAATGACGATCGGAAAGCAAAAACTTGGAGTTTCAACGGAAGCCGACATCATTTTTCTCAAAAAAATATCACACTTCCGTGCCTGAAATATGATAACTTTTTTGCTATTAAGCCTTTTCCTGAAGAAGTGAAAGGGGGCATCTTACCCCACTGGGTGGGAAAGACGCCCCCTGGCGTTGGGGAAGATGCCCCCTGCACTAAAAGTGACATAAATGGGCACGTGAATCGCCTGAACGAATCAGTAGTCCCTTCGAGCCTGCAGTAGACACTAAACGTCATCGTAAGGGCCCTCAAAAGTAGTAGTAATGGGCTTCAGAGGTCATCGTTAGGGCCATCATAGTCCAGCGCGGCCAAACAAGCCTCCGTGGTGGCGTTCGGAGTCCGCTGTGGGGCCCTTATAGGTCCTCATGATGCTTGAGGGCCCTCGAGCCCATCGTGGGGACCTCAGATGTCAGCGCGACCCGTGGAGTTAACGTGGGAGCCCTCAAAGGATGTCGTGAGGGGCCCTGGAGCCAATAATGGGGCCCACAGAGGCCGTCATGAGGGCTCTCAGAGTCAGATGCCGCCCAAAAAGTCGCTGTGTGGGCCGAGAGACCGGCATTGGGAGCACCCGACCGTACTGGACTCTCAATAGTCCCAGCTTTTGTCTCTCACCACAAGTATGTAATAAATGATTCGACGGGTTGCTTGAAGGACAGCCTACGGACTTAGGGGGGCGTCTTTCCCCATCAGGGCAGGGGGCATCTTACCCCAAGGTACCGAATAAACATTAAATCAGTACAATTTGTTAGCCATAAAACTACACCCTGAAACAAACTGTTTGGGACACAGTACACGCATGTTAATGTATCACGACCATAGCAAGGGACATACAAATTATTTACCTTCTTTGATATTTACAATGTTTTGACACCAAAATATTTTTCGAAAGCAGGAAATAAAAAACATGCAATCACCAGCAAGCCGTTGCCCAACTGATCTTCGCAAATTTTTGTGCAATTAACAAGGCAGGCTTCCGCTTTACGCTAAGCACATTAATTTCCAGGTTCGATTCTTTGTTTCGCCGCTAGAGGGGGTGGGGCGTCTTTCCCACCCTGGGCATCTTACCCCACTCTCCCCTACTGTAGCTAGCCGCTCATTGTTACAGCAAGGAACATGTTTAGAAGACACCAACATTATTTAATCATACCATCAGGGATCAACATTCAATTATGTTCTTAAATTGCTTTAATATTTTAACTATCATCTAAGCGGGTTGATTTTTTTTTTTGCCAACTAATCAATAGTTGAACAGAAAGTTCCGTTAAATTATGAACGGGTTTCTGACACACAGCTACTGGTCTGTTTCTAAGCTTACTTGATCCGTCCTAGCTCACTCACCACTGACTCACCAGCATTGAGCGAGTTCAATTATAGGTATGTGGCCTGAAGCTCCACTGGCCGTCGATCTGCCGGATGTTTTGTTTTGCGCTGCTTCAATGGTATTCACGGGCTCTCCTGATACACTATCATTCACTCTCTATCGTCCAGCATTCGCTTGGGTGACCCGCCGATGTGATGCTGGTGCATTATTGATGCGGTATGTAAACTACGCCGAATGCTATTTTCGCTTACACCATTCTGAAGCATAAAGATGGATAGATGGTCATCTAGTTTTGCATTTTACATGGAACATGACCATGCCAAAGACTAACAATGACATGCAAGTGATGGCTCAGGCAGCGATACTTCAAACTGACCATGCCTGAATTAAAGCTCATTTGCTCATTGCATGTCACATTGTACGGGGGTCCGACGGAATGGCCGTCAAAGTCTATAGAAACGGCACTTGCAGTATGTTTCCTAACGGTGGTCGAAACGGACTGTCCGCGGCAGTTATGGGATGAACTCACGCCTATGAAGGTTGTTGTGTTGGCTGGAAGACTGCAGGGTCCAATATTTTAACTATCGTAGAAAGGTTTGGTGCAGCACTTCTTGCCGAAGTTCAGCTGCAGAAAAGGGCTATGCTATTAAATGAAAAATGTTTCTGCACGTATTACATTCCTTCTTATATTGACAGTTCTAGGAATCATTATTCTGTTGACTCGGATACGCAGTTGCCAGCACCGGTAGGTGTTATGCCACATGCATGGCCTCGTTTCATAAGCGAGTTCGTAACTTACGCCGGTTTTTGGTCTTGTATTGCAAGTGCATGCGAAACAATAAGTTATTCCCCCTTCTCCCTTCTGTTCTTGCTTACAAGATAAATAATTTCAACGATTCAAACTATCGTCATCGCTTCACATGCACTTGCAATTCAAGACCAAAAACCGAGGTAAGTTACGGACTCACTTTATGAAACGAGGCCCATATGGATACCTTATTCCTTGGTAAATGTTATCAGAAATGTTACAGAGGATACAATAGCACGGCACTTTATAATATTGGGCCTGCAGGAGACCACGCCCAGTATGGCGGTAAGAGTATTTTCGTCCAGTAGGATTTTGGGACTCTGATAACGTCTATTTTTTATCAGCTGTGCTATTCAACAGGATAAAATATATCTTTTTAAGACCAATGGAGACCATAGACAGCTTGGCGTGTTTTCCACGTCCCGGAGTCTCTATACACGGTCATCGAACCCATGAAGAGCGCTGTAATTCCTGCGGCGAACCATATTTTTCGGCGGCACTTGACGGCCATTTGTGGGACGTGTAATTGACAGCTCGGCCGTGGATATTTGACTGAGGTGTTTGATGGAACACGGCGCAGGTGCACTGTTCACAGCTCCGTGCTGCGTAAAGACAACGCGGGGTCTTTTGTAAGCAGTGACGTAGGTATTTGCGGGACACTTAAAACGTTTAACCCGCCCCCTGCTGGAGGGGGGGGGCTGGAAAACCCCCTGCGGTTTTTCGCGAATATCTCAGAAACGGCAGCGCTGAGTGCCGCCGTTTTTGGAACACGTAATCATACATCTTTCCCGCACATGCTTTGAAAAAATTCAGACCAAGGTCATCCAAGTTTAGCTCACTAGGTCACGCCAAGTGACCTCACCTCAAAAGTTTCAATGCCTGCCATTATTACACCGAGTGACCGACGACTCTGAAACTTTCAGCAATTGATAAGAGCAACAATATGCATACAATTTATATCTCGGCATTTCGATATCGGTGGACTGAGATCAGGTCAATTTTGCGATCTCTACTATAAGTCAATGGGAAAAAATTGAAAGGCGCCTCTTTTGGACGGACGTCATTCTAAACACTATCAAACACCGAATTACAAATACAAATGACACACTGAACGGGAAAATGGCACCTGTGACCCCTCGCTACGTCCCTGAGGTCATCTCAGGACTCAGGTAACGAATGGCGTCTAACAGTCTTTCGCTAATAACTTCTTATATAGGCACGCTAGAGCGATGAAAACGCTTAAGATGTATTCGGCTCGACGATACGAATCGGCTGATATGCAACATGACCTTTTTCGGTCAGGTCATGACTTTGACCTGAGGTCAAATTTTCAATTTGACCTTTCAAGGTCAACTTATATTTCATTCGACGCGCCTCGACAAGAGGAAGACGATGCTGGCAAAAATAATGTCGTGACTCTCTTGAATCAGAAGTTATTGAAAAAAATATTTTTCTTAAAAACGGCTTTTTCAGTTTTTGCTCTCGGGTAAACTGTTGACCTGACATCAAATATAGGGGACATTGCAGAAAGTGGGTTAAAAGGGCTATCGAATGCGCTTTTCTGCGGCGCTGTAGCTCTATGGATTCTCGAGTTATGTGCCGATGTTTCAAATGATGTTAAAATAGGCAACATCGTACCCTTGATGGCCTCTGGTGCCCTGGCGTTTGACCCGACCTAAGAAATGACTTCAGTGTTTTCGTCCTTATTTTGGACGTACTTTCGAATGCCGCTTACTGCGTGTCGCCAAGTGACCCAGGAGCCGAGTTAGAGGGGAGGAGGGGATGTTCAAACTCTTTTCAGCAGGGCGTGGAAATTCAGGACCCCCGCGGGGCGTGGGAGAAGGAACAACATGTTTGTTGTTCTAGCTAGATGCCAAAGCAAATTATAAACAAAGAAAATTATAAGCGAGGAAACATACAGCGCTTCTT